TCCCCAAGTTCCAGCCAGCACCCCTTAGAGACCCTCCAGTGGCCTCCTGGGGATCCCCAAGCACCCCCCAGGGACCCACCCCCCCATCAGGGGCATTCAGCGACCCTCAATGCACCCCCACACCCTTAGAGACCCCCCAGGATCCCCCCCAGACCCCATTAAAAATGACCCAAACCCGCTCAGAGATCCCCCAGACACCCCTTTAGGGTCTCCCACGTCCCCACAGGGGACTCTTTGAGGTCCCTCTCTGGACTCCCTTCCGAGTGTCCCAAACCTCCTCAGTGACCCCAAAAGTCATGCAGGGCTCCTGAGGGTCCTGCAGCCCCCCCAGCCCCCCCCACCTCGCCGTTCATGGCCCTCATGGCGTCGCTGGCGTGCTCAGGGTTGGTGAAGGTGACGAAGCCGAAGCCGCGCGAGCGTTGGGTCTCCCGGTCCTTCACCACCACCACTGTGGAGGGGTCAGGGGGGTCAGGGGGCTCGGGGACCCCCCCAAATCACCACTGAGGGGCAATGGGGGGAGTCAGGGAGGGATGGCACCCCCCCCCCCACCAAAATGGGGTCTCACAGGAGAAAGGGACACCCCAACCCCAAAGCTGATCCTACACATTAAGACCCAAAGCTGGGGTCCAAAGGGACGTGGTGACTCCCACCCAAGGATGGCCCCCCCCCAAAAACCTGGGGTGTCAAAAGCAGAGGGAACCTCCCCAGACCCCATTCTAAAGGTTACACCCAAAAATAGCCCCCCCCCCCACCTTGGGTGTCACCCCAAAGCCGAGGCCTCCAGTGGGGGAGTCACCCCTTCCAACATGTCCTCCCTCCCCACGCAGATTTTGGGGGCTCCTGGAGAGATGGGGAGGGGTCCCCAGAGAATGGAGGAAGAACCTCAGGGGATTCTGGGGCTCTGGGAAAGGATTTGATTATTCTCAGAAGGGTTTGGGGGGTATATGGTCCTAGAAGGGATTTTGGGGGGATCTCAGGAGCTTTTGTGGGGCAGTAGGTGGGGGTGCTGGGGAGGAGTTGAGGTATCTGTAATATTTGGGGTTCCCAGGAGGGGTTTGGGGCTCCCAAGGGGGTTTGGGGGTGCCCAGGGGAGGGTTGAGAGGTGCTGGGGGTTCCGGGGGGTCTCGGGGTGCCTCACCCTCGGCGATGGGCCCGAAGGAGCTGAAGTGCTGCTCCAGCCCCTGCTCGTCCGTGTCGTAGTTGAGGCCCCCCACAAAGAGCTTCCCCTCCTCGGCCGCCATGCGTGGGGGGCGGGGCCGGGAGTGATGTCATAGGGTGGGGCCCTGCCCCTCCGGCGACACTGCAACCTGGGCAGCGGGAGAGAGGTATGGCGTCATAGCCCTGCCCCCCCTCCCCCCCGCCCCGGGCTGCTGTGACATCACAGCCCGGGCAGGGAACTCCCCGGGGTCCCCCGCGGTGTCACAACCCTCAAAGCGACCCTGATGACGTCACAGCCCAGAGGG